GTAAGTTTATTTAATATTTACCGTTACGTAACGTACTTTTTTCAGTTTCTCAGTCCGTCCCTCCCTCCTTCCCACCCCTTAACGCATCCGGAATGCAGCTGCATTCCGGAACAACATGTGAAAGTGAAAAGTGTACAGGAAAAATAAGGGGCTGCGAAGCAGCCCCATAAGCCCCTAGTCAAGTGTATTTACATAGCATGGCCTGAGTCGCAGGCATTGCTTATGTTAAAAAAATCAACTGATAGCTTAACACTTGTTTTCATCTACAATATTTCTACACTTATTGTATGAATGTGCAACACAGCAATTGCATGCAAAAAATGCGATACATAATACTGATTCCAAATTTTTCCAAAAGGACAATTTTTCGCTACGTGAGTAACGCAGCCGAAGATAGGAGAGACGTAATTCGGTCTCGTTTTTAACGTTCATTTAGAATCGGAGCGACACGTCAATCAACAACATAGCATAGAGCATAGCGAGTTTACGTCTCGCGCCATCGCGCCTTCAATTTTGCGAGCGCAACACGGACATCCATCAGGTACGAATAGTTGTATATCTGCGCTGTCTCTGACGAGTCCTTTTCTTCGCTCTATTTCCATACTGTATTCGTTCATGTTTGTCTTACGTGTAATGGTGCCTCAAGGGCTACGTGAGTAACGCAGCGGAATATAGGAGAGACGTACTTTGGTCTCGTTTTTAACGTTCATTTAGAATCGGAGCGACACATCAATCAACGACACAACACAAAGCAGAGCGAGTTCATGTCTCGCGCCATCGCGCCTTCAATTTCGCGAACGCAATACGGACATCCATCAAGTACGAATAGTTGTATCTTTGCGCCGTATCTGACGAGTCCTTTTCTTCGCTCTATTTCCATACTGTATTCGTTCTTGTTTGTCTGATGTGTAATGGTGCCTCAAGGGCTACGTGAGTAACCCAGCCGAAGATAGGAGAGACGTAATTCGGTCTCGTTTTTTACGTTCATTTAGAATCGGAGCGACCCATCCATCAACAACACAGCACAGAGCAGAGCGAGTTCACGTCTCGCGCCATCTCGCCTTCAATTTTGCGAACGCAACACGGAAATCCATTAAGTACGAATAGTTGTATCTCTGCGCCGTCTCACCGCGAGTCCTATTCTTCGCTCTATTTCCATGCTGTGTTGATTCCGTTCGTCTTATTTGTAATGGTGCTTCAAGGGCTACGGCAGCAACATAGCCTACAATATGAGAGACATAATCTGGCCTCATTTTCGAACTTGTCTCTCGAATCGAAGCGAAACCTCACTGGCAACATAGACATAGACATAACATTTTTTCCACAAAAATAACGTTTGAAGTATAGGAAATAATTTCCACGTGCCTTCTTGAAATTCTTTTGTAATTTTCAATTTACACTTAAAAACGGAATAATTAGGTTTTCGACAAAAAGTCTCTTTCATCCCAAATTTCCATTTTTTTTACCACTGTCCTATTAGGAAGAAGCTTATTGAACAAGACAAGGCCCTATCTGAAAACAATGGAACGACATGGTACGAGAGTGGGATATTTTCCGAGACAATTTTTATGATATTAAGCGAGAATCGCTAGGCAGGAGCGTGGGTATTTTATGCACTTATGAGGCTATCACCCTACCGGGAACAGAAAAAGAGAGATACTCTCCGGTCTCCAGACGCGAAGGCGACATAATGGGCTGGAGCCCTCGCGGGTAATTCAGACGGCTTGACTATCGATTTGTTCTCGACTGTTTTGATAGGTCTGGGCCATTCATCGCAAATTTCGAATGAGCTCATGTTGAAAATCCAAGATTCGAGGGGGGTCATTTCGCACAAGGGTAAAATACTTTACACACAATATGACGCCCCTTAATCCTTAATCTGTTCGAAGAACGAGCTAATTATTGAAATTGATGGACTTGAAGTGATAGACAGAGACGAAAACTGAGCACGGTCCTATTGGAAGCTAGGACGCGAGCGACTCCAATGGACAAAAAAGTTAAGTTTTAGACTAAATAACGTCAACCGACAAGGAATCCTATAATTAGTTTATTATTTTCCTCGTAAGTCTGAAAAACAACCAGCCGTTTCAAGTAATAGGATCGCTCCATCTTCCCTTTGTCCTTCGCTTTGTCTATCGATCAATTTCAATGATCAGCCCGTGGGTAGCGCGCTCTAATGAGTGTGGCGTCGAAATTCCGGTCACTTTTGATAAAATAACCAAACAGTTTCAAATACGCGTAAGCGATGATAAGCAGTCTAATGCGTCGATCGCAAGCTCATCCGTCGAACTTTCTTGTCCCCGATGCCAAATTTCATTCAAACAATCGCCGAGTAAAAAGCTCAAAGCGCGGTTTTAAAGTACTCGGCTGTGATTGCTCCTTACCGAGAATGAGGACTGGGTTTACACTACCGTTTGAGGCAGAAAGACCGTATCTGGATAGAGGATAACGAATGGAGTTATGTGATTCTTAGCCAGCACACGAATCTCGGAGTATCTGAGCTCGGAGCTTGGAGACGGGCTGTAGTGTACACAGATATTAATTAGCTCCTTGAGCATTGGCGAGTAAACATAGAGGTGAAACTCATTCATTTGAGCATCGAGCTAGATTCGTTATCACTCAATCTTGCCCAAGCGCAAGCGGTTATGCGCCGTTGGATCGGGCTTGTTTAAGCCGACCGGATGGGGCCGAGGCAAGGGTAAGCACTGTACTGCCGTGCTAAGGAAGAACGTCGTATGAACCTTCAGGCGTTGCCAAATTTCCTTTGATAAAACTCGAATTTCCTGGTAAACTTATGAAAATTTTCTTTCTACTTTTTCAGATAATTTTGTTCGCAATTTCATCTGAAGTTCCTGGAAAAGTTCAAGGACAACTCATAACATAACTCATAACTTTCCTCAAAAATAAACATTTTATTGAAGGAAATTTGGCAACTCTTGAATGTTCATACGGCGTTCTTCCTTAGCACGGCAGTGTAGGAACTCGGTGCTTGTTGAGACTGGTGAGATTAAAAAGTAGAACGAGAAATGAACGGGAGAGTTCGGAACGAGAAATAATTTCTGACGTCCTTAGTTCCTTCGGCGCTGACCGAACTCTGTTAAGAAACGAGGAGTGAAATGGACCTATTTTAAATTTCAGCTGAAGCAAAAAAAAATTTCTTGCATCAAACGGCTGAAAAATAACGATTAGCGTATGGAAAAAGTCTGGAATACACTCTTAACTTCACAATCTAAGTAAGAAATATGCTTTTTTTAAGGCTCCCCGCTTCAAAAACGATACTACGACTCAGGTGAAAAATTTCGTGAAGAGGAGTCGTTCCATCCGACCCTTGCACACGAAGATGCTACACAAAACTCAATATGACTGACGCTTCTGCGCGCAAATCGTGAGAAAGCGCCAGAGTATGTATCAACGACTGGAAAACTCTGATTGAATCAACACCATTACTCTGAATTTTTCGGCGATCAAAATCACTAATTCCAAAATACATGTAGGTCTTAGCTTCGAACCCAAGTCATATACTCCCATTTTCAAAATGATCTATGAAGACGTTAATAGCCTGCGACGCTGAATGTCTCAAAATATACTAACTAACTAACTATCTATCTAGCCTGTGACGCTGAATGTCTTAAAATATATTAACTAACTAACTAACTAACTATCTCATTTCTCAGGTTCGTGCGGTGAGGTTCCATTTTTTATTGTGTCGATTAGATTTTTCCGTGGTCTTGAGCCATGCCTTTCATGCTGTACAAGTGGAGGAATTTAGAACATTAAAAACTATGCATGTATATCTTACATAAAGCTTCCTACAAAACGCACAATTACTACAGTAATATATACCTACAGCAATACAAAATGACAACGAAGAGAACTCTCAATCATTACTTGAAATCAAAGGGTCTACACTGAAAATGCGTTCAATGGGGAGTCTTACCTTCCAAAGGCCTTCCTTCTCCATCAAAGCAAGCTAAAGGACAAGTTAGATAGGAAAAGCGATTGTGAAATAAGTGCATTTACAGAGACACACTGCGGAAAGAGGTGTTACATTTTTTCCGACTTATCAGAGCATAAGATACGTGTTACAAGGAAAGTTCTGTTTACGACTACATTTACTTCATTAGTAAAAAATGTGAAAGTGTGAAAAATTAGTCGGATGAGTAAAGTTGGTAGAGTTTTCTTTCTAAGCTTGGAGATTACTGAGGGGTGAAAAAACCTACAATCCTAAAATTGACACGGCAGATATATGGTTTTTATGAAATGAGGGTTTATGTGATTGCAGCAAACTATGGCAATTGGATCAAATAGTTGAAAAACACATCATACACTCTCTGATGGAGAATTTGCACACACAAATTGTATTGCTTCATCTAAATGCGCTGAGTTCGCAGTATTTTTCATAATTTTTTTTTTCTGACATGGGAAATTGGAGAGAAATTGATTTGAACGCGAGAAAATGTGCCGCCTTATGACGTCATCTGGCGGCATTTCCCATTTAAACAAATGCATTTGAGCAGAATCGGTTATCTTGTCATATTTCCTCTAATAATTTCTCAATTTATGAATCAAGGGTATCTTCGTGTTCAGTTCACTCAGTAGGTTCCACTTGAACACGAAATTCATCAAATTCCAGACCCTTGCAAATTCTCCATTGACTCGATCCACTGTGCGTGGGAGCGGGGTAAAATTTGAAATGGGGTGAATACTCACGTTTCATTTGGATGAAATTGAGCTGCTCGATGGCTTTGAGGAGGGGCTTGTCGTCGAGAGTGAGGTCCAGATGCGGCGAGAGCCGAGGTGACGTCACCGAGTCTTTATGCCACGTCATGTCCGTGCTCCCCACCCGCGCAATCAGCATCGAACCCACCTACCCACAAAAACACACGTTCAGATAACACAAGAGGCCTTCACGCTTGCCAAACTTACCAAGGTGCATAAATTATTCATAGTCGTTTTTCAACCGGCTCCTTTCCATGGGGAGGTCCTGTATCAGGGTGTCTAGTTTTTTTTTTTTTTTTTTTTTTTTTTTTTTTGTTGTCCGCAAAACAATAAAAACACGTTCTAAAACAGGGTGTCTAGTTTTTTTCATTTTGGGAAATCCTGATTTTCCTGATTTTTGACTGCTAAATCCTGATTTCATAATTTTTCAAAATCCTGATCAAATCCTGAGTTATTGCTGAGAAAAAATATAATTTCTGCATTAGCGTATGCGAAAGCATAAAAAATCCGATCGGACAGCCGACTTTTCTCAAATCCTGATTTGACGACCGATTTTTCCTCAAATCCTGATGAAATCGGGATTAAATCCTGATTAACCTCAGATCCTGATAGAATCGGGAAAATCCTGATGCTAGACACCCTGATACTTACAGTCGTTCCTTAACCGCCTCCTTTCCATGGGGAGGTCCTATATCGACGGCCGAAGTAAGAAACCACGTATCTTCATTGCGGGATTTCAAAATGTTCGCTCCTACTTTCTTTCTGGTAGCGAAACGAGCCAACTTAGTAGCTTGAAATCAATACGGAATATTCTGCTCGTTGAGAGGAAAAATCAAGCCAATTTCAAGAAATAGCGTTGACTAGTTTTTCAAAGACAAATTAAAGTAAGACAGGGAGTCTACAACGTAGCAAACGGACTAACGTGGTTTCGCACTTTGTTCATCACTATGGTTTACCTTGTGATTAAGGAACGCTCAATAAGAGTTTTATTACAGCGTCATAGAATGACAATTTTTGCAAAGCTCCGGTAAAATTCGGTATCACAACTCTGGAAATAGTAACTGGCGAGGGATTCTAAGGAATTGCCTGTGCGAAAAGTACAAAATACGGCAGATAGAATTCTACGACCATGAATAGGTGATTAGTCCCTTCGACTAGGAAACGACGATTTTTTGGTGTTTTCTCTGGATCATTTGGACCTATTCCTGTCAAACAGAACTATGTGCATTAAGACATGAGCTCTGAGACCCATAAGAATGCACGCGTAACAGGGCTCACGTTAGGGGCACATAGTTCCGTTTGGCAGAAATACGTCCATTTTAGGGCGGAAAAAAAGGAGACTTTTTCGAGTATTTTTGGTAGCAGTGGGATGCATTCATGCAAGTCATCGACACACCATTCTTCTCGGTTATTGGCCGCCGCCTACGCAGTACGCACATCACCGCAAGTGGACAAGGGGCACTGCACGCACCTCGTCGTCCCTCTGGCGGAAGGGCGTAACTCAATTTTAACTTGAACCCTATTCTACATATAAATCCATCATTTCTGGGGCTCATGCAGAGATCAAGGTACGCCCTTTCGTCAGAGGAGCAACGAATTGTAGAGCAAGTTAAGTGCCTCGCAGTAAGCTCAATATCCAACAGACCTAGTTTAAAAAAAAACAAAAAAACAAAGTGTGTCTTGATTCTTAAATGGACGTATTTATGATTTAGGAACTATGTTATTTAAAAAGAACTATGCGCAAGTGGAAAGATGGGATGTGCTCTTGGTAAGCTGGATAAGAAACAATGTAAAAGTGGATATAGTTCCTATTGAGAAAATGGAAAAGCGGGATTTGACATTAAATCAAAAGGAAATGAGCGCTAACTTGTGAGCCGTGGACATGTGACAAGAGCGTTGTGGACAGGGTTCATGAGTTAAAGCGAGAACGTCAATGGAGACGGCTTCGTTGCTGCTGACGTCACTGGCGCTTTAAAATCCCCCTTCATTCCAATGGCCCTCCAAGAGCACACCCCCATCTTTCCACTTGCACGTAGATCTATTTAGCATGAATACGTCCAAATGCGAAAATTGAGGGAAGAAAACTGAAAATCACCTGAAGGAAAGCTGCTGAGTCCGTTTCCTTGAGCGCTTCTATACAAAACTGGAGGAGGGCTGTGGTGTGCTGAAGACGGCACGTACATGACGTCACTTGATCCTTGAGCGTCCTCTGTTTCACGTCTCGGTCTTGCCTTACATATTCCAAGAGTTGCTTCTTCCTATTCACTATAGCTTCTACTAATTTGTCAAATTTGGCTGAGACAGTGGCCTCGAATTCTACGCAGTTTTCCTGAGGAAAAAGACACGATGAAAATCATGAGCGTCTCTAAGCTTTAGTTACGAGCTTACAGCGAGCCGCTCATTGAAATCAATAGACAAAGCTATAGACAAAGCAGACATAAGGAGCACAGAGCGATCCTATTAGTTGAAATGGGCGGTTCTTATAGACTAAGGGGGTAAATCATGGAATAACTATCGGATCTCTCGTGGGTAACCGTTAGTTAGTCTATTACCTGCGTCCTGTGTCCAATGCAACCACCCGATTTCACCAATAGGATCTCTCCATATCCTTTTTGTTTTCTTTGTCTATTGCTTATTCTATCTGTTGCAATGATCAGCCCGCAATGGTATCATGGACGGAATTTGGAACTTTGAATGAGTAGAGAGGAGGCTAGAAGGGTACCTTATGAAGAGAGGTACAGAAGGGCCCGAGGGGTGTGGAAAGGGCTCTACCAGCACCAAAAAAGAGGGGCTCGGAGGAACTTCTGCAGCTCCGAAGGGGTCCAGGAGGTTTCGTCGATGAAATTTCGAGTTATTCTTAAATACGAGTTCAAACATAAAATATAAGTCATGCAGTCATGCACTCATAAAGCGAAACCTTTCACATTTCTAGAGGGGACCAAGTAAATTTCTGGGGGGGGAGGGCGAATCCCCCTAGTTTTGCCCATGGGAGGGATGAAGCGACTTACACTTCAAGGATAGTAAAAAGGATCGGGAAACGTCTAAGGGGATTATCTTGTTATTGGACATTCTACGATCTAACGAAGGGAATGGAAGCAATGAAACAAGAAAATCAATTCTTAAAGTGCTGCAGTAATTAATGTCGGGGAAATGGGACCATTTTTCTCTTCTGAAGATTGTTGTGAGTACAACCTCTACTCATGAGGACTTTTCAAATAGTTCGCTGGTTACCCAGAGAACAACTCGAGACAGTAAAATTGCGAGCTCGAATATTGCAGGATTAAAATCCAATATCTCTGAAGTACTTGGAAAAAGCACTGAACAGAGACAAATCACTTCTCCGGTCATCAAAAATCTTATAACAAAATTAGCGCGAGACATTAATCACTTAGATGAGAAAATTTCCGAGATGAGCTCACTTGGGGGNGGGAGGGATTAATTTGAATTCCACTTCGCATTTGAGGAAGGAACAGCTTTACACTCAGGAGGGAAAGGCATTAAAAGCTTTTACTCACGTTTAATTTTTCAGTCATTGATTTGAGCCTTTGAATGAATTCCGTGGTTGAGCGCGCCTTTTCAGACAACTGCTGCAAATGCTGCGACAGCTCTTTCTGCAACAAGAGAAACAAAGGCGAGATAAGACGATTAGCCGCTGAAAGGGACGGACGTCCGGACGTCCGACTAAGACAAAGACAGCGACGATGAAACACAGATCGTCGACACTTTTTCAATTACTCGGCGCCGCCGTTTCCATTTTGGAGCTGCCAAGTTGCCAAGTTTAGCAGATTATAAATATAACGTCTTACCTTCATAAACCAGTTGACGAGATGAGGATTTAAATGTAAAAACCATTGGGGAACTATCCCTCGCACCGCAATACGGAATTTTGCCCCCCCCCCCACCACCCTCCTCATACACACCCGACTTAAGGGTCTGCAGCTCTTCTTCCCGAAAAATTACGCGACACTTTGCAAGGTTCCTTTCTCTTGTGATGTAAAAAAAACGGCATTTTCTGTCAATACTCATAAGGAAATTGAACAGCGTTTAGCAGAAAGGAACCAAGTCACATCAGCTATTGCCAAATTTAGCTGGGCAAGTTAATTTTTTACAAGAGAACGTTTGGGCAGGTTCCTTTGAAAATTTTGAGGAATTAGTTTTGCACTAAGCAGGAATTTCACTGAAATTTGCACAAAGATCCGCACAACCGTTTTCATATAAAACTTAAATCACCCCATGAAATTTGGCAATAGCTGATGTGACTTGGTTCCTTTCTGCTTAAAGCGGTCCATATATCCAAACCATACTATAGTTATCTCTCCGGGAGAGCATGCTACGGCTACGTATGCTCTCCTGGAGTGTGATGTAATTCGTCGACGGAGCTTCAATCTTTTTTGTTGATACATACAAAATCATTAACACATCAGTTAATGACTTGCGCACTATCATCGATGTTTCCGAGGAGGCAAATGAACGTCGCGCCATTCCGGGGTTGCGAGGTGGACTCGATTTTTTCTTTTTACAAGAAAAAAGTGTGCAGACGGTATAAAAAATGTTGGTTTTTGCCGGTAATCCAAACAAAAACAAGAAAATTTTTGATTGAAATTTTTTTTACTGTTTTCGAGCAAAATCATAAATTGCAAGTGAGAATTTTGCAATTTGCCTAGATGTAGTTACGTTATTTTGTCTTAGGCGCAACAAGTTGACGTGAGTAACTTACGAGATGTCGAGTGGCTACACTCGATAATTCGGCAACAATATTATCAAGACTTAAGAAAAGCTTAAGTCAAGACTTAAGTAAATCCATTTAAACATAGATTCTGTTTCTCTTTCCAATGACGGAAAAAATCTCGCCAACTTACAAGAATCGGATACATTGGCAGGAAGACGAAAAGGGAGGAAAACGAGGTTAAATTACCGATTAAACGGTGATCATTTACAATTTACAACTATAAATATAGTGGTGCTAAAAGGTACGTTTACAACACCATTTATTAAAATGGGATCATTGTTAAAACGAGGAGAAGTAACGGTTAACGAAAATATATCGTCTTGAATCACGGCGAGTAGAACGGTCGTGTCGCACAAGTGTTGTAAACGATCCCAGTTGGAATAGGACCGCGCTTACATCTGACTCACAGTGTAGCTGTTGCCCCTTGAGAAGACCGTACTTGAGTACCGTAAAAGTGTCGTAGGACGTAAATGATGGAATGGCGATCACAAAAATCCCTTAGTTACACGCTTGTAAGTTTTATGAAGCTTAAAAACTAGTAGACTTCCGTAAATTACAAGTTTGTCAGTTATCTGAGACCTTTTCCCGCCACGTATGTACAAAGAGGAAAAACTTCAATTCCTATAGGACTGAACTTTAGTCCACATGGAACACCAAATTTTTCGAGTCAAGGTTGTGAAACCAAACTTAGGTTCAGATAATTGAAGATTTTGGTAAATAATACGAACCTCATGGCATACCTACCTGACGAAAAATGTTGTACCCAGAACTGAAGTTTGATTCCTATTACCGAAAACTTCGAGTACTCAGACTGGAAACTTCAAAGTACCATATGACGTCGTTTCCGTAACAACGTAGTAGGAACGTAGGTTGCAAAACTGACCCAAACAATTCAATTTTTCACAGGAATGTATATATTATATACATAGGTCGCTTTATAGCACTCCCTCGTGCTCTACGACTCCTAACCTCCACTGCTCTCTGCCGAACCACAAACCTTGGGGCATTGAGCACCTTAACATTACTGCTTCAATCCCCTCCCTCCATGTACCTGAGCAATTTTTGTCCAAATTTTGTCTGATTTTTACACGACATCAGAGGAAAAGTCAGTGAAATTTTCAGTTAGAAATGTCCAAGATTCTCACGATAAAATTGCAATTCGCAAGGGTAAAGGCAACATTGCAATGTAGTTACGTTCTTTCGTGAGGGGAATGACGATAAATCGAAGTTTTTCACCACTTGTACAATGCGCATTTTCAACTTTGAAAGGGAATGTAAGCCCGGCAACGCAGCGGAAAAACTCCCTCTCTTCATCTCACGCTGGCGAATAATAAAGTAAACGACTCGAAAAAAGAGGAGAAAAAAAGGCTTTCCCGCGCGCCGGAAAAAAGTGGCTGGAGGCTCCGGAAACTGCGAAAAGGCAGGCAAATTCTACGAGCTTCCCTTGCGGAGCTGTGCGCTTGCTTTTTCTGAAACTCATTAATGGTTTTACAAATTTCCAGACAACTCGACGATAAGATTCTTCATTACACCGCGGTTTCCCCCCGCCCTCACCCCCGTTTTTACCTTGCATTTATTACGCGTGTTTACAACTCGACCTTCCTTCCATTATTAATTATGAAAGTACGCCTTCGTCTAAGTTAAACAGCCGTAGGTGTTCCTAACGAGAGTGCCTTTGTATGGACACTGATGGTTCTATTTCTGATTGGCTTGGCCATCTGAAGATTCAGGGGTTGTCTAACATCGTCGTATCGCTCTTCTGACGTACACAAAGAGAAAACTCAACATAAAAGTTTGGTTGATACGGAAAGTAAAGCACAGAAAAATCCAAGCTTTCGGTTGATTCTGGGGTTTCCAAGTACATGGTGTCTACCAGTGATAAAAAACCAAACTTGGGGACTTTCGGGGACTTTAAGAGATGTTTTTTCAAGAAAATCGGGGACTTTTTCCAGAAATAGTGAGAGGAAGGGGGGCTAGTTAGAGCGTTAAAGGGCGTATTTTATGCGAATAATTTTACAAGTCATGTAGAATCGATGAAAACATACGAAAAACCAAGCAATGCTTCAGTTATTTTAGAAACCTCGCACTGGAATCTAAGCAGTGAAATTTGGCGAGGTGAAAGTTGAATTTTGAGGTCAATTTTACTTTTCGCCCAAGGATGAGTGATGAGCAACTTGTTGAGTGTATGATTCGATAATTGGATGTATTTATGATTGATGAATGTCGGAATACGCACTTTGTTAGGCGAGTTTTTCGCAATTCAGATGATGGATTTTAAACCAATTCTGCCGTGCTAAGGAAGAACGTCGTACGAACATTCGAGAGTTGCTAAATTGCTTCCGATAGACTGTTTATTTTTGAGGAAAATTATTGATATTTTTCCTTAAAATTTGCAGAATTATAAGATAAAATTGCAAGGGAAATTACCTGAGAAATTGGAAGAGAAAATGCACACATTTTCTTGAAAATTGGTGATTTGTCAAAGGAAATTCGGCAGCGCCTGAAGGCTCATATGACGTTTTTCCTTAGCATGAGCGTAAGTAAATGCGGTAAAAAATTATTTTCAGTGCGGGCTCTTTAAAATATATTTTTTCTGGTAGTGTATCGAAGACAAAGAGAAAGTTTTCACTAATTTTTTAGTGATCGTTGGAAATTTTCACTTACTTTCACCTATTCGATAACCACCGCCGCAAACCTCTATTTCGTTTGATAATATTTGTGTCAACTTCGCAACCATGTCTAAGAAATCCGATGAAAATCTCTCGTGTTTACTTACTTCGACCATCACTTCAATCCATCCGACTGGGTTAAATGGATTACATTTGGCAAAAAGGAACCATTATTTCTGGTCCATTTTAGAAACAACATACATGCCATTGGTTTTCCTATGCAGATAAGTGCTTTTATGAAAGAGCCAGAAATAGTGGTTCCTTATTGCAAAATGTAATCCAAATATTGATGCGAAGAGCTCAATGATAGGAATTAAAAGAATGTCACACTGGGTCTTTTGAACGAATTGCCGAGACACAAATAATGGTTTATTGTGCCTTGGTTAAATCCACTTACTATATAGATGAAATTTCAGCGAGAGCTGGATCTAGTCCCAAGGAAAGGACCCTGTCGACATGAGCGGTCGCCAAATTTCCACGACAGCTATCTTCCGTATTCTTTTAGGGAAATCTATTGAAAAGGACTTAATATCACCTAATTAATTAATGTAGTCCTTTCCCGATCGACAATGATCGACGAAGCGTGATTATTGACCAATGGCCATCAATTGGACTACATTTTGCAATTTGGAACTATGAATTCTAGCCCGGCTTAAAAACAACGTATGTGCCATCAGTTTCCCTATGCACATAAGTGCTTTTCCAGAAGAGCCAGAATTTATAGTTCAAAATTGCAAAATGCAGTCCAATTCGTCGTTTCATGGACGAGGGAACGTAACTTCATTTCGAGGTTGCAAAATTTTTCACAATCAATTAAATGTTTCTTAAGAATGAACATGTGCAATTCCAGGGTTGCCACAGAATTTAAAAAATTAAGTTCCCTGACAATTCCCTGATACATTTTGGTGTAATTCACTGACAATTGAAGATGTGACGGATGGTTAAGAAGGCATAGTTGAAAATAGTTTTTGGGCGAAATTTCTCGTTCAAAATCTCAAACCCATTCTAGAAAGCAAATGAAGGTGATTTTACAAATTTTTCCTGTCATTTTCGTCATTTTCCCCGACATTTCCCGGTTTTCCCTGACTTTTTAAAATTCCCTGACATTTCCCAGTTTTCCTTGGCTGTGGCAACCCTGAATAATAGTCCAAAAATTGTCTGATTTTTGCAGGAGATCCGGGGACAATCATTGAAATTTTCAGTTATGCGGCGC